ACAGAAGGTTCGCTTTGCATTGAGAAACTGTCTTTGGTAGCATTTTTGTTAAACTGTCATGACTTCCCTATTCTCAACAGAGTGAAAACAAGTTAACTTTAGTACATGACACCCATGTGTCAGAACAGATCCGAAGATGCAGTCACATTTAGGTATCACTTATCAGCTCAGCAGGACATGTCTCAGAAAGCAGGGGGTATGGGAAACAGTGACATCAGTGTAGGAAGGTAGCCTCAAGAGTCTTTGCATGGAGAGTCTTTGCCAAATTCTTTTTATGAGGCTTCAATAACCTTGATGCCCAAACCACACAAAGACACAACTAAGAAAGAGGTCTTTAGACCAATATCCCTCGTGAACATTGATGCGAAAAAACTCAATAAAATACTGGTAAATCAAATCGAAGAACACATCAGAAAAATCATTCACCATGATCAAGTAGGTTTCATCCCAGGGATTCAGGGTTGGTTCAACATACGAAAATCCATCAATGTAATCCACCATATACCCAAGCTGAGAAACAAAAATCACATAATCATCTCACTAGATGCTGAAAAAGCCTTTGATAAAATCCAACACCCCTTAATAATAAAGGTCTTGGAGAGATTTGATATAACAGGAACATACCTAAACATAATAAAAGCCATATACAGGAAACCAACAGCAAACATCAAACTAAATGGAGACAAACACAATGGAATTCCTCTAAAATCTGGAACAAGATAAGGCTGTCCACTCTCTCCATACATCTTCAATATTGTACTTGAAGTGCTAAGCAATAAGACAACAGAAAGAAATCAAGGGGATACAAATTGGAAAGGAAGAGGTCAAACTTTCACTATTTGCAGATGATATGATAGTTTACATAAATAACCTGAAAAACTCTACCAGGGAACTCCTACAGCTGATAAATACCTTCAGCAAAGTGACAGGATACAAGATCAACTCAAAAAAATCAGTAGCCCTACAATATACAAACAATAAAAGGGCTGAGAAAGAAATAAGAAAAACACCACACTTTATAATTGCCACAAACAACATAAAACACCTTGGGGTAATGCTAACCAAACAAGTGAAAGACCTGTATCAAAAGAACTTTGAGTCTTTAAAGAAAGAAATTAAAGAAGACACTAGGAAATGGAAAGATCTCCCATGCTCTTAGATAGGTAGGATCAATATAGTAAAAATGGCAATCTTGCCAAAAGCAATCTACAGATTAAATGTAATCCCCATTAAAATCCCAGCACAATTATCCACAGACCTTGAGAGAACAATAATCAATTTTGTATGGAAAAACAAAAGACGCAAGATAGACAAAAAAAAAAAACTATTCAACAAAGCAACGTCCGGAGGCATCACCATCCCTGACTTTAAGCTCTATTATAAAGCTATAGCCCTGCAAACAGCTTGGTATTGGCACAAAAATAGACAGGTAGACCAATGGAATCGAATAGAAAACCCTGATTTTAACCCACACACCTATGAACACTTGATTTTTGACAAAGAAGCTAAAATTATACAAAGGAAAAAAGAAAGTGTCTTCAACAAATGGTGTTGGCATAACTGGATGCTGGCAAGTAGAAGACTGCAGATAAATCCATGTCTATTGCCATGCACAAAACTTAAGTTTAAATGGGTCAAAGACCTCAACATAAATCCAGTCACACTGAACCTCTTAGAAGGCAAAGTGGGGGTACCCTTAAATGAATTGGTACAGGAGACAGCTTCCTGAACATAACACCAGTAGCACAGAAACTGAGATCAACAATTAATAAATGGGACCTCCTGAAACTGAGAAGCTTCTGTAAGGCAAAAGACACAGTCAACAAGACAAAAAGGCTGCCCACAAAGTGGGAAAAGACATTCATTAACCCCACATCTGACAGAGGGCTGATCTCCAAAATCTACAAAGAACTCAAGAAGCAAGTTTCCAAAACGCCAAAGGATCCAATTAAAAAGTGGGCTACAGAACTAAATAGAGAATTCTCAATAGAGGAGTCTAAAATGGCTGAGAGACACTTAAGAAAGTGCTCAACCTCCCTAGCAATCAGGGAAATACAAACAAAAACAACTCTGAGATACCATCTTACTCCTGTCAGAATGGCTAAAACAAAAAACACCAATGATGCTCATGCTGGAGAGGATGTGGATAAAGGGGAACACTTCTCCACTGATTGTGGGAGTGCCAACTCATACAGCCACTATGGAAATCAGTATGGAGATTCCTCCAGAAAATAGGACTCAGTCTACCACATAACCCAGCAATTCCACTCTTAGGCATATATCCAAAAGATGCACATTCACACAACAAGGAAGTCTGTTCCACTATGTTGATAACAGCACTATTTGCAATAGCCAGAAACTGGAAACAACCTAGATGCCTCTCAGCTGAAGTGTGGATAGAGAAAATGTGGTATATTTACACAATGGAGTACTCCTCAGTGGAAAAAGAAAACAATGGAATCTTGAAATTTGCTGGCAAATGGACAGCACTAGAAGAAACTATCCTAAATGAGGTAACCCAGTCACAAAAAGACAAACATGGTATGTACTCACTCATGTATGAATTTTAGCCATGGATCAGGGGAATGTCAGCCTACAACCCCACTGCCAGAGAGACTGGGAAACATGAAGGACCCTAAGAAAGATATACGTGGTAACCCAGAGAAGGTGGAATGAGGCAAGATCTCCTGAGTAGATTGGGATCATGGTGGGGAGGGTAAAGGGAGCCAGGAAAAAGAGAGGGGGAAGAGGAGGGGAGAGAAGGACATGGAGAAGCAGGCAGGTTGAGTCGGGGGAAGAATAGAGGAGATCAGGATGAAAGATACCATAATAGAGGGAGTCATTTTTGGTTTGAAGAGAGAACTGGCACTGGTGAGATTTCCAGAGATCTACAAGAATGACACCAACTGGTAAACTAAGCAATAGTGAAGAAACTACCTTAAATGCCCCTTCCTGATAATGAGTTTAACACTACCTTATATGCCATCCTAGAACCTTCATCTATGACTTATGGAAGCAGAGGAAGACACCCAGAGCTAAACACTGTACTGATCTCCTCGAACCCAGTAACAGAGAGGGAGGGGTGATGAGGAAAGGGGTATAGACTGGGTTGGGGAAACCCAGAGAAACGACTGACCTGAACAAGGGGGAGATCTTGGACCCCAGACTGATGGCTGAGAGGCCAGAATGGAACTGACCCAGATCCCCTGAAAGTGGGTGTCAATGAGGAGGCCTAGGCAATCTATGGGGCCTTGGGTAGTAGATCAGTATTTATACCTGGCACACAAATGGGCTTTGCGTGCCTATCCCACAATGAGGGATGCTCTCTCAGACTGGACTCTTGGGGAAGGGCCTAGGCCCTGCCCTGAATGAAATGACAGACTATGGAGATCCCCATGGAGGGCCTCACCCTCCCTGAGGAATGGAGTGGGGATTGGGAAGGGGATTGGGGGGGCCAGGGAAGGAGGGGAGAGAGAGGGAGCTGGGATTGACATGTGAAACAAGCTTGTTACTTATTTAAATAAAAATATATAAAAGGGAGACTTTTCACGGACCTCACAGTGCAGTGGAGACACTATCCTGTGGCCTCCCTCCCTCCCGACACTTCCCTTTACTCCCCTCTGGGTTCCACCCTGGGTGGTCAGTCTATTTCCTGGCCACCTGCTCATGGGCCATTGCTCTGTTTCCTCTGCTAGTGCAGAGCTTTCCCTTCCACACCATCCTTTCCTAAACATGAAGAACTGTTCAAGATCCAGCACTGATACCATTCCTTCAGGAACATTCTATCTGCCAGAACAATGCTCCTCCCCCTCTGAATGTTCATACAATTTAATCTCTTTGAAATTAATAGGGCTTGCTCCTTTTCACTGTGAAATCTAGTTTTGTGTCCTTCTGGGTCTTGAGTTCAAAGTAGTCCGAGGCTAGATCCTTCTACTGATCTAAGAGAACATCGCAGGTTAATTCGGGAGTAAGAGAAGTTTATGGCATGCCAAGAAAACAGCAACAAAGCCTGAACCGTCACCAGCAAAGGGGCTGTGAGGTCTAGCTGGATCTTAAGGCCAGCATTGCCCTGGCTCCTGTAGCTGTGTTGATATCTCTGACTAATTGTGTTTCCTCCATTCTTTCTTTGTGCTGACTCTTAACTGATGTTTGCTCTGCAGCAGGCAAAACTGAGAGCCTCGGTGGGACCAAAGTAGACGGTGAGTCAGGAAGCAGATATGTGAAGAAACGCTCGGGAACTCTTTGTTTCAGACTTTTTGTAGTTGAAGGTTTAGAAGACACCAGGAGTAATTAGATTGTGTGTGTGAGTGTGTGTGTGTGAGTGTGTGTGTGTCTGTCTGTCTGACTGTGTATTTAAAAATTACAGGAGCAGCTATGCACCCATATACGTATTTACAGCAAATAGAACTGAGTGTGGTGGTGAACCAAATAGAGGCAACACCTTACTCAAAAGAAATTACATTTGCGTGACCACAAAATTATCTTTGCAAGGAGTACATTGGCCTTAAACCTGAAAACCAGGCCACTAAAGCCAAGTAAGGAGAGAGAAAGTCGCCCACAAAGGAGTTAAGTTTCACATTGCAGAAACCACAGATGATCTATACCAGCGTGCACTAGAGAAGACGTTTTCGTTTTGTTTTTTAGTGTGCCAACTTTTCCTAGAGTCTCTCCCTTGTTTTCTTTTCCTTCTAGCCTGCCCTAGTGTGTGTGTGTCTGGCTTTGGTGGTTTGGAGGGTGGCGATTGGGCGGGGAGCAGGACTCAGTTCTCCAACTGAGCCTGGGAGGAGTGGGAGGGACTGGGAGCAGCGGTTTCTCACACCACAGCCTTCCAGGCGGTCTTCCTCCAGCGTCTGTCAGCCTGACCCCCAAGACAAGAGCGGCATTGCACAGCCTGAGGAGTCAGCCGAGATACGAGATACCTGAGACCCGGTGCCCGGGTGGCTTTGACCTCGCGTGGCTGCACCATGGTGGGTTTGCCTCGCGATTTGATTTTCTAGTGTCTGGGGGATGGAGAAGGGGAAGAAGCGTGGCACCGCGACGTGGAAAGAAGTCCTGTGCCGTGGGGCGGGGACACGGTAGAATCCTTTAGGTCGCGACAGGAAGAAACAAAAGCGAGAAGCAACTGTTTCGAGTAATGTGGGTAACCGGCGCTGGGGGGTGTTCGGTGCTTCCCGCCGCGCCTATAAAGCAGGTTGACAAGCGTGTGTTCAAGCGTGGCGGTGAGTGTCCCCGGCGAGCCCGCGCGGGGACCGACAGGTGCGACCGCAGCCACTGTCCACGCCAGCGCCTCCGCCCTGCGTCTGGAATCCAGTGCTGCTGGGCTGTGCGAGGTGTGCTCGACGTCTGCGGGAGGTCGGGAACCTCGGTCCCAACGTCTGGAAGCCACTGAGTAAGTGATCGAGGTACCCCCGCGGGTCGGGGACTCACAGGGCGTGCGGCCCTCTGCCGAGCCCTGACCGAATCCTGTCCCACGCTCTCCCGGGATCCTGCCCAACCCTGGGTAGCAAGATCACGATCCCCAAGCTGGGGAGCAGCGAAGAAGCGACTTCCCGGGCGTGATCGCCGCGGTCCACGGGAACCGTTCCGGCTGGACGCTGTGGGCCCTTTGGGGACGCGCAGGGCGTGGGCGACTGTCTCCCACGCCCGGGCCCGGCCGGCAACCCTGAGAAGCTGTGTGGCCTCTGTCACCCAGTAGCAAGGCAGGGAGGCCGGAGGAGACCTATAGCTTCCAGCTTGTGACCTCATCCAGGCTGCTTTCCTCCCCCTAGGGTGGGCAAGCAGCTCAGATCCCCAGAGAATGCAAACTGCAAACTTCCAGCCACTGCTGGAGCCGCCGCAAAGTGTGCCTGCATGCAGGGGGAGCGAGCCTGGCTCCTTAGCCGCCTTTCTCTTGTTATGACGACTGTAACGCGTTGGAAGGCAATGTCCAGGCGTCACAGCGGTCTCCTGGGCCTAGCTGAGTGGACAGTGTGTCCAGGGTCCTCAGAGTTGCCTCTAAGTGACTTTTGTGTGATGGGCCTCCTCACACCGTGGTCACGTGGTTCTAAGGCCTTGGGTTTCCTGGGCCTTTTGCTTTCCAGCGTTCACAGAGTTGTTCGTTCGTTTTGAATGTGACGAACAGTCACATTCTTACTTCTGAAGTAAGCCAGAGGGTTGCCCAGTTCATCCTCGGGATGCATCTCGGCTTCTAACATATTGAAACCTTGCTGGGTTTAAAGGAATGTTGATTAGCTTAATTTAAATTTTCATAGTGTTTTCTCAGGATCAGCCCTCCAACAATGCTTCTTGTCTGGCTTGGTAAGAGCAGCATTCACCTTCCTGTTGCATTCACGTTGAGGCACTTAAAGATGAGCAGTTTTGTGTCTGGGCTCATCATAATGCAAGGCACAAGCTGTTGCTTTTCCTAAACTGGTGATACTGTTTTTCTTCAGAAAGGATCGCATCAGGTACTCTGTTGCGAAGAGCAGTGGTGACCAAGGGAGGCAGACGATGAGGACGGGAGACTTTCTAGAGTTCTGAAGTAACGACAGTTGCTTTTGTTCGGTTATTAAATGGTCGGGTATGTGAATCTACGATAGGGTTCTTGTAGTCTCAGAAGTTATAACCAAGTATTTGAGCTGTTGCATATTTTTTTTTTTATTTAAGTTAGAAACAAGCTTGTTTCACATGTCAATCCCAGCTCCTTCTCCCTCCCCTCCTCTCCCGCCCCCCCCCCACCAGGTCCCCCAGTTCCCCACCCAATCTCCACTCAGAGGCCCTCCATGGTGGATCTCCAGTGACTGTCATTTCATCCAGGGCAGGGCCTAGGCCCTCCCCCCAAGAGTCCCTGCTGAGATAGAATAACTCCTGAAGTGTACAGAGAAATTTGCGACCCAATAGGAAAATGAGGACCTGAGTTAAGCCGAACAGTTTCCAGTCTAAGTCTTAGCCTCTGTACATAAAGTGTGCAGACACGGACTAGTAGAAGATTTCAAGAATAGTGCTGTGATAGTTAAACAGTTCAAAGGCTGGTGAGGAGGCAGAGGAAAAGGAATCTGTATACACTACCTGGGGAAATGTAAATGTGGGAAACTACTATGGAAATCAGGATGGAGGTTCCTCAAAATATTTAAGAATAGAAATAGACACATGATATATATATACATATATATACATATATATATATATATCCTTCAGGTATATACAGTAAAGATTTTGTGTCAGCACACCACAGAGATATTTGCTCAGAGAACTTTACCAGCCACAATAGCCAAGATATAGAACCAGTCTAGTGCCCAGCAACAAGTGCATGAATAAAGACAGTATGGGATTACCATTGATGAACATATACACATTTATTCCTCTATACATAGAAAGAAAATGCTGAAATTTGCAAAGAAATGGGAGGCACTGGACATCATTCATAGAGAAATAAAACAAACAAAAGACATTTTCTCTCATATATAAAATCTAGGAATATATATGTATGTATATATATATATATATATATACATATATATATGATATCTAGGAGACTGGAAGAAGTGAGCCAAAGAGAGGAGGGACGGCACAAAGAAGGGCAACTGTGTATATAAAATGTGAAACACACGGGGAAACCGCCTAGGGGAAAATAAGACAAGCAAGTTGGGGAAGGCTGGGGAGCGAATCAGAGCAACATAGAGTGTAATAATCTACATACATGACAATGTCACAAGCAAATCCCCTACTTTGTGTACTAAATAAGATAAGTGTACAAAAGAAGAAAAGTTCCTATGAAACAGACTCAAGTCCAAGATGAGTTCTATGGAGTTTGCTTAATAGAAGTCTGTGATGCACAGATGGCTGGATTTTGTTTCTACTTGCACTATTAGATCTTTTCAGTTTATGAAAATAAATAGAATACTTTTCTCTCATTGAAATCGAACTTAAATATTAAGTAATTTTGCTTGGTATGGTATCCCATGAGACATGGCATGTAAACAGTCCTAGACAGAACCCATTATACACGTCCAGGTATAATACATGATTATCTTCTGCTGTTTGAGAATAAGGAAGGAAATGTGAAGTTATGATTTATATCTAGCAGTAGGAAAGAATTCATAATATTTAGTGCTGGTGTCTCATAACTATGGCTTATTAGATAATCTTGTTTCAAGACATTCTAGAAAGTTGTTTTAATTTAGACTTCACTACAGGCTTAAGTAATGACACTAAAATTATGCTGTTATGAGTAATGTATCAGTAGAATACTTAGAGTATTAAAATTTCAATAATTTGTCATAGATACCTTTAGACTTAAGAAACCTCTTTTGCTGAACAACTAAACCCATTGGTTGGGCTGTATCAGGAGCAGTGAAAGAAACATGAGTTCTCTAACAGTTGTAAGAGTGAGTGTGAGGGAGGAGGGGAGAAAATACTGATGTTGTTTAAAGATAGCACAATTTCTTCCCCAAATCTCTTGTGAATTTAAGAAATAACCACGAGACTAGCTTTAAGAGTGAGTCTCCCTAAATGAGAGGAAATGGAAAGTAATATTTGTACAAACAAGCTGAAATATGTAATTGATGGGGAAAAATTGTAGGAAGTGATGGTGTGTTAGAATTACTTTGATGTCAGATTCACAAGGAAGTTGTTTGTTTTCCTTTGCTTTGAGAGGACATTCAACTTTTTATGGAGCTATTTTTATGTTACTTGATTAGAACTATTTATCCAAGACACTTTCCTTAAGCATGCTATTTATTGCATCTCTGGAAATTTGTGGAAAGAATTGTCTCTCTTTCTAAAACACCTGCAATGAAGATGATTGTCCTTTCCAGGTCATATAGGTCTATCGTCTGGACAGCAGTTTCCTTAGCTGTCACCATCCTTTCCTGGCACGAGAGCTATCCACAATCTTGAGTGCTTTTGGTGATTCGGTGTCTTTGAACCAGTTGACTTATTGGAAGGATGGCTACTTTCTTATCCATCCTGTGTTGTACCTGATTACTCACTGTCTTTACAATTTCTAATTTCACTTGCTTATTTTGTGGGTATATGTATGTGCATATGTGTGTGTGCATGTGTAGGGACACACACACATCATGACATACACATGGAGCTCAGAAGATAGCTTTCAAGTGCCTGCTTATCTCCTACTATGTGCATCCAGGGTTAAACCCAGGACCTCAGTTGTTGTGTCAGGAACCTTTACCCACTGGGCCATCCACGGGCTCTCTTATTCCCTTATCTTTCGCCAGAATACCTTGGGAATACTTTACCTATTTCACATATAGGAGAGTAGGCATCCATCCACTTCCTCTAGGCAGAGCACTTACAGAAAACAAATGCGATTGTTTGTGGCTGGGTAAAAAGAACTTGGGGCCAAGTGTGCCTTCATCATACAGTGAGAGACTCATGCTTATTAAAACTGCAGAGTCTCTAAGTTTCCATGCTGGGCAGTCATGCTTTCCAGCTAGTATTAATCTTTGATTAAAACAAGCCTTTTTTAAAAAATATACAATGAAAGCCAGATCTAACCCACATACCAAGTACTCTCACACAGTAAGGATTAGCAAGAAGTCAACTGGAGATGGTGGCTGACAGGAAGCCAGGTAAACTCTCACATTAACCCCTCGGCCACCCTTGCTTTGTATCCCTTTCTATGCTGCCACATGACACCGAAGGTGTCTGTTTCAGTGTTTGCATCTCTGGCCAATCCCAGTTCTCTGCCACTGGATTCACAAAACCTTGCAGGCCGCACAGTAGGTGTCAAGTGGGCTGCACCTTGCTGGTACTGAGTTGAGGTATTTTGTGTCTGATGCCATAGGCCATATTAATCATGAACACCATGCAAAGCACAGCGCTTGTTTTGGGAGAACTCCTGTGCATGGCCTTGCTGATGTCCCTCTGTGCTCTTATGTAGGCTTTGCAGCCTTTTCAGAACCACCTGATGTGGCATTTCTGTCACCAGTTGCACTTTCTGCAGTCATGCTTGTTATCCACCACCATTGTGGGCATGAACTGGCTTCTGAACTTTTCCTCTTCCTAACAATCCAGACCAACAGAGGCTTTAAGTACCACATTCCAGTCTTCCTCTGTGGTCGGGGCTTCCTGCAACATCTAGTAACGGGACTGGTCTATTTTTAGGATTGACCTTAACCTACTCTATTCTCTAGAGGACCAGCAAGTACATAATACCCTGTGGTTCCCGTCACTTTAAGTCTCACCTAAAAATCTTGGAGCCCTTAGTCTTTTTTGAGTAATTTGTCCTGTCTTTCCAAATACTTTACTAACTTTATAACTACTTGATAAGTTTCTCTCCCCTTTTTTCTCCTTTTCTAAGAGTTTCCTGTTTTTATCAACCTGTTTTAAATTCCAGTTTCAACTCTCCTCAACTTCCAAATATTTTCCCAAATACACAACAGACTCTGT